GAAGCCCTGGTGGAGCCATATGGGGTGGCCCCTCGCCGGCTGCCAGGAGCCCTGGGAGCAGGGGTCGGCGGAGACGGGGAGCAGAGCCACGGTCCACTCCAGTGAGCTCCCGCCGTGTGCTGGCGCGGGCCTGGCTGCTGGGGACAGGCTGCGGCCGAGACTGAGTCCGGCGGGGAAGGGCGACAACACTGACGAGAACACGGGAATTGAGAAGGCCTTTTAGATGGTGGTCAGCATGCTAGGAGGGAAAGGGGACAGGGTGACCAAGGGCAGCCCTGAATGGGGTGGCCAGGGAGGGCTGCTCTGGGGGAGCAGCATTTGAGCCGAGACCTCAGCAGTGCAGAGACAAGTGGCTTGTCCCAGGCCACACAGTAAGTTCAGGTAAAGCAAGGCTAGGACCCACTCTGGACTCCCATTCAAATGGTCTCCCTCCTTCTAGAAACATCCTTCTCTTGGATTCTGACAGGTTCTCCTGGTTTCCCTCTTACCCTGTTGGACACTGCTTCTCTGTGTCCTTGACCGACTCATCCTCCTCCCGGTGTTAGCTGGTGCCAGCCCTCCTCTGTCTGAAAGGTGGGCTTTCTCCCACTCCCCATCTATACCCTGATGACACCCAAACTGCCACCTGCATCCCTCACCTCTCCCAAGTTCCTCACCCAAGTTCAAGGGTCCTGCTTGACCTCTCCCCTTGGATGACTAAAGGTTCTCTTGGTTGGGACAATGCTAAGTCAGTATAATAGAGACCAGAAATTAGAGTAGTTTAAAAATATCCAGTTGATTGCTCTCTCATGTCATATTTCCAAGGGAAGTGTTTAGGTTGGTAGGTGGCTCGGCTCCACGGGGTCATTTAGGCACCCAGACTAATGATGGCACTGTTCTCCTTAAAACGAAGCTTCCAGGGTCTTTCTGGTTATCACTCTCCCAGCCAATGTGACGGGAAAACATGGAGGTCTAGAGAAGGAATTTCCTCTTAAGCAAGTGAGGCAGAAGTCGAACCCATCACTTGTGCTCACAGTCCGCAGACAAGAGTTTAGACATGTGGTCCCACCTAGCTGCAAGGGGAGCTGGGAAATGTGACCCAGCTGGGTGGACAGCTAGCAGTCCACCACAGTCCACCCTTAGTGAAGGTGAACAGTGAGGACCTCCCTGCCCTGCTGGGGAGGAAGCTCTCTGGGGGTGAGCCTCTCGTCGTGTGTCTCTCTGGCCTTGGCTTTGCCCTTTGAGAAGTCCCTTCTTGTCCCCCAGTCTCCACTGCCACCCAACAGGATATCGAGTCTGTCCTCTTTGGGCACTGACTTGGGCTGGAACAATCCCAGGCTTTTGAAGCCTTGCCATTTTGTTGGTAATAACAGTTCCTTCAAAAACTTAGTAGGCTTCAGGACTGTCTGCTTCTGGGCAGTTCCATGTGCCAGTAACCCCACCCAAAGTTCCTTTCTTGACAGAGTTATTAAGTCTGTCTGCGTCGCCCAGCCCATCTCTTTCTCTCTCATTTTAAATGCAAGTTACCCTAAGAACATCTGAAATAATAGACTTAGAAGACAAGGCATGATACTAATCATGATACTTTGCCACAGAGTTAATCCCTTCATTTGGCTTAGTGTCTGACCTAATAGACAGGCTTCGAGAAAGGCTCTGAGCCACGATGGTCTGATCTGCAATTTGGACAAAACAAGTTAGTTTTTCCAACCCTGAAGACAGCAGTTTTCTAGACTCTCTCTTTTTCTGTCCATCTCTTCTTGCAAATGAGACAATCTTTTTCTTGTGTTATCTTGCTAAAAGCAGCACTGAGCAGCCAACACTTGTAAATGTTTTTGGCTCTTTCCAACCATTTTTCTAGAATTACAGGCTCAGCAGCATGTGGTCTGTCTTCCAAATTATCACAGGTAATGTTTTTAATAAGTGTATTGTCACAGCATAACAAGGGTCACCAGCTTTCCGTCTTTCAATATTGTTTCTGTATTGCTCCCCACCTGTTGGCTAAGGCAATACCACATATTTTTGGGTTTTGATACATGGCAGCTTCCCATTCCTAGTACCAATTTCTATATTAGAGTACTGCTAAGCTGCTGTTAACAGGACCTCCAAAATACAGTGGTCTTAAGATGATAGAAATTAATTTTCCTCCCACATAATACAGTTCTGATATGAGCATTTCAGGCCTCACTCCAGTGGGGTGAGGGTGTTGATGGGTAGCCAGCAGACTCCACAATGGCCCCATCCCTCCCAATCTTCTCTTCCCCACTGCATTCCACTGTCAATCAATGGCACCATCTAACCCTTGTTTGGGCCAAATATATGGATGTCAGCCTTGATTCCTCCCCTCCCCCCAGCAAGGCCTCTCAATTCCATCTTCAGACACATGCCAAATCTGACTATTTCCCTACCTCTCCGTTGTCTTCACCCCCATCCGAGTCTTCTGTGTCTTGTTTCTGGGGTCACATATTGATCTTCTAAGTGGGCTCCTGGGTTTTTCCCCGGTCCCTTTCCAGTCTTCTCTCCACATGGCAGCCACAGAGACCTTTTAAAAACATAAATTGGATCATGTAGCCCCCCCTGCTCTAAACTCTCCAATGCCTTACCATTGTCCTTAGGATAAAATGTTGTCTCCCTAACATGGCCACGGCCAGGCCGTCCGGGACTCCTCACATCTCATGCCTCTCATCCTCTCTGCTGCAGTCACATGAGCTTTCTTGCTGTCCCTTGAATAAGCCAAGCTTGTTCCTGCCTTAGTGCCTTTGCACTCACGTTCCCTCTGCTCGAAACACTCTCCTTGCACTTGGTCACATGCTGGTTCCTTCTGTGTCCTCCACAGGGCAAACGGCTTCAGTGTCGTGGATAAGAGTGAGGGCTTGGGAGCTAAGTCGCCTGACTTCAATCTCAGCTCTGCTGCTCACTAGCTGTGTGACCTTGGGCAAGTTGCTAAGCTTCTCTGTGCCTTGGTTTTCCTATCTGTAAATGGTGATAATAAAAGTACTTGTTACCCAGGGTTGTGGAGAGGATTAAATACGATAATTGACACATTAAATGAAATAAAAATACTCAGGGCATGGCACATGTCCCTCAGGGGTCACCTTAAATATCACGCACTCTGAGAAGCCTTTCCTGGCCACCCCCTGTGCACACCTCTCCATCTGCATCCTGTCACACCCCCACAGTATCTGTTCTTGTTCAGGTGTTTATTGTCTGTCCCTCCCACGAGGATGTAACTTCCACGAGGGCAGGGATGGTCTTGAGCCGGCACACAGTAGGTTCTCAAGAAATCTTTGTTGAAAGGCTATGGGATTGGGGCCGGCCCCGTGGTTTAGCGGTTAAGTGCGCGCACTCCGCTGCTGGCGGCCCGGGTGCGGATCCCGGGCGCGCGCTGACGCGCCGGTTCTCCGGCCATGCTGGGGCCGCGTCCCACATACAGCAACTGGAAGGATGTGCAACTATGACATACAACTATCTACTGGGGCTTTGGGGGAAAAATAAATAAATAAATAAATAAAATTATTTAAAAAAAAAAAAAAAGGCTATGGGAGGAATGGAGGCCAATCTCATTGGTTCTCTCATTTCCCAGCAGCCCTGTGAGCCTTGCTGGGTGCCTGCCTGTGTGTGTGTGTGTGTGTACTGCTCTGTGTGCTGTGCCTCAGGCTCGTGGTCAGGGTGGTGCTCACAGTTTCCTCTTGGAAGTCAGGGGACCAGGGCAGGGGACCTGCTCATAGAAGCCCTAGGGGCACTGGTGGCTATCAATCAGCCCTTAGCAGGGGCTCTAACAGCATGGACCCTGGAGCCCACCCCACCTGGTTCCAGCAGTTCCTGGTGGACCAGTTCCTTACCCTCTCTGTGCCTCCATTTCCTCATATGTAACATTGGGAGAATACCGATGACCTCACAGGGCTGCTATGAAGATGAAGTCGGGTAGTATATATAAAACAAATGCCCCTGGCTGGCTTGGAGTACAGCTCTCCAGATGGTAGTTATTACTATTATTGTTGTTGTTGTTAGTGCCATATTCAAGTGTCATTCTGAGCATGACTAGGGGTGCCCGAGGGCCTTGGCGAGGGGAGAGGGGTGAGGAAACAGAGAGGACATCTAGGGAAGGGGAGAACTGGAATGGAGCAATCGGTGTGTGTTTGTATTCCTACGTGCCTTTATGGATGCGCGCGCGCGCGCGCGCGTATTTATGTATTTGTGTGTGGTGGGGAGAGGGTGGCAAGGACCCAGAGAGAAACCCAGCCCTCCTCCGGACTCGGATCTGGGGGCCGGGTGCCCTGCTCTCCGCGCTCCTGGTTCTCCCCGCTGCAAGGAGGGCTGGGAGCTGCCTCCGCCACGCGCGCCCGAAGCAGAACCCGCGGCGGAAAAACCAGCGTCTCGAGTGTGTGCATTTGGGATTAGGGGGCGGGGAGGGAGCCCTGCGCCCCGCGGCCACCACGGTTGGTACAGACTTGGGGACGCCAGGACGGACAGGGGTAGCCCAGTCGGGCCGATCCGAGGACCCCTCCTCCCCGGCCGCCCCTGCCCCGCGCGCTCCGGGGCCTCGGATGCTCCCGGATCCCCCGCGGGCGGGGCCTGCCTTCCGGAGCCGGCTTGGCGGGGGCCGGGCGGCGCTGGGAAAGGGCCGTTACTCTCCCGGAGCGGCGGGCGACGTCAGGCGGAAGGGCGCGGGGCGCGCACGCTTTAAATGGCATTCGCTGTCATCCGAGCTCGCAGGCGTGTGGGCAGGAGCGGGCTATATAAGCGGCGGGCCGGGCCGCCGCGGGGCAGACGGCGACAGCAGCGGCGGCGAGCGCCTCGGAGTGCGGCGGAGCAGCGCCCCCCGATCCCCGCGCC